CGGTGCCGAGGCTCGCCGGCTGGCCCGGGCGGGTCTCGGACCCGGGCTCAGGCCGTCCTCCCGCCTCGGCCTCCCCACGTGCCGGGATCCCGGGCGCAGCCCCCGCGCCCGGCCCGCACGCCTGGGCCGACGCGGCGCGGCGGTGGGGACGGTGCGGGCGACACGTTCCCGAGCCCTCGTGGCTGCCGTGGAGGCGGCACCCCGCCGGCTCTTCTGCTGGTCGCGGCTCACTGTTTACTGATCGAGGGAAACGGTCTCTTGGCCCACGTGTTCATGTTTCGCAACGCGAACACAGGACCCAGGACAACGCCGGATCAGTGACAGTCTATCTAATTCCACCCGAAGAAATGCTTCCCATTCCCAAATAACTTGGCACTCCGAAAGAGGGAAGCCTTCCTCGTCTCCTCATCCTTCATGGAGTCCTAATTTCAGTGGAAATCTTCCTGTGCCTTCTTTGCAACCTGTAGACAGCGCCAGTCCCCAGGGACACAACAAATGCTCCTGCAGCGGGAAAGCCAGGGTGGTTACTGTCCTCGACAGGTATGTCGGCCTCCACACCAACGTGGCCACTCTCGGGCCGACCCGTGTCCAGATCCCCATTGGCCCCCTGGCTGCTGGAATTTCATGAGGCCTTTGTCTGGATCATAGATTAATGGGGCACAGGGAGGGAGAGGGCAGGAAATGAGTTCCGTATTACATTAAGGACATTTTAGCTTAATTCTTGACAATCTCCCGAAGGTTTTTATCTCCAGATAGGTTCAAAGTCGTTTCAGCCCAGCTAGAAAATGACAAGCAGGCTTCTCTGGTGCTAAAGTGAAGCCCCTGACTTGGTCTGTTTTCTGTTCCTATAAAGTTTTTTTGTTTTGTTTTTGCAGGAATATTGTACACGTGGAATCATGTAGTATGTAACCTTTTCTTCCTCCCCCTTCTTTGACTTAGCATAATGTATTTGAGATGCAACCATGCTGTTCCTTTATTGTTTTCTTTCATTGCTGATTACCATTTCATTGAATGGATATACCACAATCGTTGATTCGTTCTCCCTTAAAAGTTATTTACATTTTCCCCCCAGTTTTTGAATGCTAGGAATAAATCTACTATAAACATTCACATAAATTTTTGCGTGAACTTTTGTTTTTATTCCACGAAGAGGTGGGATTGCTGAGTCAGGTGCTAAGTGCTAAGTGTCTGTTTAATTTTGTGAGAAATTGTCAAACTGTATTCCAAAGCAACTGTACGATTTGGAATTTACTTTAGCCCTGTGTGAGAGTTATATAGTGGACGCTTGAACTACACAGGGGTTAAGGATGCCGACCTTCCTTGCAGTCGAAATCCATGTAAAACTTGTGAGTTCTCAAAAACCTAACTACTAAGAGCCTATTGTTGACTGAAACAGTGGATTAACATACATTTTTTATGTCATATGTAGTATATCTTGTTTTCTTACAATAAAGTAAGCTAGAGAAAAGAAAATCACAAGAGAAAATATATTTTGCTATTCATGGAGCAGAGGTGGATCATTGTAGGTCCTCATCCTCGTCTTTACCCTAGGTAGGCTGAGGAGGAGGAGAAGGAAGAGTTGGTCTGGCTGCCTCAGGAGTGGCAGAGACAGAAGAAACATAGCAAATAAGTGGACCTGCACAGTTCAAACGCACGTTGTCCCAGGGCCAACAGTATTTTGCTCGTCTTTTTCTAGGTTCTTGAATTAGGAACTTAGGTTATTGATTTGAGACTTTTCCTGTTATCTAGTGCAAACATAAATTTATTTAGCACTTATAAACAGCGATCAGTACCCTCATGGTGTTACATATATCTTGATGTGTTGTATTTTAACTGTCATTCATTTCTGTGTATTTTTAGCCTTTTCCTGTAAGTCTTCCTCTTTGCTGCTTTGATTATTTCTTGTTCTTTAATTTTTTTTATTTTAAAGATGTGGAGTACAATTCAGGGTTAGGTATACAAGTGGACATCGTACAGGTAAAGTTTGGGCCTCTCTTGGGTCCCAACTTTGCCTGGTTTGAGATCAGGTACCCTTATTAATGTTGTGCCCCTCCCCCAAGCCCCCACCACGGCAGTATCCCACTACTGCCAATTCCTTTCTTATAGTATTATGGTAAATGTTCAGGGTTCACTTATGGATGAGAACATGTGGTACTCTGTTATTTGTTTCTGTGATAGATCACTGAGTATGATAGACTCTAAATCCACCCAAACTACTGTGAAGTCAATATGTTTGTCCTTTCATCTCCTCCTGCTAGAGACAAGGTCTTGCTCTGTCACCTTGGCTGGAGTGCAGTGACATGATCATACTTCACAGCAGATGCAAGTTTCTGGTCTTCCAGAATAGCTGGAACTACAGGTGCAAATCACCTCACCTAGCTAATTAAAAAAAAATTTTTTTTCTGTAGAGATGGGGGTCTCATTTTGTTGCCCAGGCTGGTCTCAAACTTCTGGCTTCAAGCAATCCTTCCACCTCGGCCTCCCAAAGTGCTGGGATTACAGGTGTGAGCCACCACACCTGGCTCTATAAGTGTGTTATTTAATTAGGTGTTTAGAAGCTGGGCATGATGGCTTGACACCATAATCTCAGCTACTCAGGAGGCTGAGGCAAGAGAACCACTTGAGTCCCAGAGTTGAGGCTGCACTGAGCTATGATCACACTGCTAGCCTCCAGCCTGGGTGACAGAAACCCTGTTTCAAAAAAAGGTAAAACAATTATAACGTATATAGAGATTTTTCCTGTTGTTATTGACTTGTTCTGATTCTTGGTGGTCAAAGAACATACTCTCTGTTCTTTTAAATTTGTTTTATGATCCAGGGCATGGTCTGTCTTGGTGAATATTCCATGGGTGTTTGAAAAAATGTGTATTATGTTGTTGGATGTTCTACATATGCCAATTAGATCATGTTGGTTGCTTGTGTCCTATCTATTTTTTTTTTCTAGAGACAGCATCTCATTATGTTGCTCAGATTGGAGTGCTGTGGCTATTCCCAGGCACAGTCATACACCCACTGCAGCCTCAGACTCCTGGGCTCCTGCCTCAGCCTCCCAAAGTAGCTGGGATTACAGGCACACACCACTGTGCCTGGCTTATGTCTGCTTTTAAAGAAGAGAGAATTCCTGTTATTTAGACCAAGTAATTTCCTCAATCTATGGATAATACTAACTCTGATGAAAATAATACAAAAATTAGTATAGACCAAGATCACATATAAAAATTATTTCTATAATTATAAATAAGATATTAGACATGGAATCTAACAGCATATCATATGAGTAATTCACTATAACTATGGAGGGTTTTTTTCCAGGAAAATAGGAATGACCCAATATCAGGAAGCCTATGAACACAGTATATTAATATGTAGAAGAAAAAGCACATAATTATATCAACAGATGACCCAAAAAAAGCCATGTTAAAAGCTGGCAGCTATCCTTAAAAGCTAAATTAATTCAAGCAGAAAGAGATGGCTAAAACACTAGAGTTACAATAAAACAGTAGTCTATGAGTATGGCAAAAGTCTCTAGCCATTTACTTTAAAATTGAGAATAAAAAAGAATGATTGCTACTAGCTTTTTTTTTTTTTAAATTCTACAGCCTGGGAGTCATAGATTTGGGTTATCCTGAATATATGCTCCCTAGTTCTATTGTTTTTACATTATTTGTGGAAATTCAAGCTAAGGAAACAAACCAGAAAGAAACCAAGCAATTTAAAAATAATAAAAAATCAGATAAGGCAAAAATACATGTCTGCAGATTATTATATTTCTATAAAACTTGAGTTAGTAGAATAAGAAAACTTGGTAAGGTATAAGGTAAGTATACAAAAGTCAACAGCTTTACCACATCCTAGCATGAACCAATTAGAAATGGAAACCTTGTTCACAAAGATGCGAGAGACCTCAGCACTGTAGCATTCTCTCATATTATTTTTTGTTTGTTTTTTTGAGGCAGGATTTTACTATTGCCTGGGCTGGAGTGCAGTGGTATGATCATGACTCACTGCAGCGTCCAACTCAGGTTCAAGCAGTACTTCTAAGCAGCTGGGACTACAGGTGCGTGCCACCACACCTGGTTAATTTTTTTTTTTTTTTTTTGAATCAGAGTCTCACTCCATAGCCCAGGTTGGAGTGCAGTGGCATGCACACGGCCACCCCAGAGTCGACCTTCTGGACTCCAGTGATCCTTCTGCCGCAGCCTTCCAAGTAGCCAGAACTACAGGCACACGCTACCACACCCGGCTAATTTTTAATCTATTGTAGAGACAAGGTCTTGCCAAGTTGCCCGGGCTGGTCTCGAACCTGTGGGCTCAAGCAATCCACTCAATGGCCTCCCAAAGTGCTGGGATTACAGGCTGAGCCACTGAGCTCAGTCTGGCTAATTAAAAAAAATTTTTTTTTGCAGAGGTGAGGTCTCACTATGTTGCCCAGATTGGTCTCAAACTCCCAGGCTCAAGTGATCTTCCCGCCTCCACCGCTCAAAGTGCTGGGATTATAGATATGAGCCATTGCACTTGGGCTAATTATGATTTTTTATGATAATATTCCACCGTGAGATTATGCCAGTTTATTCATTCTCCTATCAACAGCATTTGAGTTGGTTCTTTCCTTCCTCCATTCCCTCTCTCCCCTCGCTCTCCTTCCTTTTTAAGTAAGGTCTCCGTTGTTTGTACGTGTTTTACATGTTCTTGTAAATGTCTCCTTCTTCTGGCTTGTAGTTTCTCTAGGTTATAAACTTGGAGGGAATTACTGAGTTGTGACCAAGAAATGATTCAGTTTTATAAAATAATGTCAAATTGTTCCAAAATGGTCATATGTATGTATGACCTCCCATTGATCCTGTCCGATATTTGATAACATTTTTAGCTCATTTGGTGGGTAAAAACTGGTATCTCCTATGGCCTCAATATTCATTTCCCTCAGTATTAAAGAAGCTGAGCATCTTTTCATGTTTTTAAAAAAACTTTTCTGTAGAGACAGGTCTATGTTGCTCAGGCTGGTCTTGAAGTCCTGAGCTCAAGCGATCCTCCTTCCTCGACCTCCCAAAGTGCTGGGATGACAGGCATGAGCCACTGTGCCTGGCCCATCGTTCATGTTTATTAGCTAGATATATTTCCTCTGAAGGGAAGTACCTGTGTGTGGCAAAGAAATACCATGTGTTACACTGAATTTGCCAGGCTTGCAGTCATGTCTGGCTAAGTGATTGGACTTTGGCCAGAGGGATGTGAATGCAAAAGGTATGTCTCTTCCAAGTGTGGCCCTGAAGAACATTCTGTGTGACCCTCTGGCTCCATCTTCCTGTGCTGCCTTGACTTCAGACACTACATCTTCCCAGTAGCATAACTACAAGATGGAAGAGGGCCACTCAAATGGCTTTGTAGTTCCACCAATTCGGAATATCCCTTATAACTTTCCTTTAGGGTAAAACATTTTGTGATAGACTTCCTTTTGTTCCCCCACTTTGATAGTTTTGCTGAGTTCACAATTTGAGGCTGAATTTCATCCCCCACCCTCCGTGTTCCTTTTCATTTAATCAAAGGTTGGTGGATAAAATATAAACGCTATTGAACACAACTCAGCTCATTCTTCATATTGTAGG